AAATAAAGGCTAGTAGAGGGAAATTGTGGTAACACTTGGAAAAAAAGTATTAAAATAGAAGTAAAAAAAAGAAAATACCGATATGATAACCACAATTCATAAATTGAAAAACTCAGAACAGAAAAAGGGACAAATGAAAAAATATGAAACAAAACTATCAAAACTCAAGAGATTGAAATAAAACATTCTAAAAACAAAGATTAAATTTTAACTTTTTAAAAGGGAGAATGTAAATACTTGTACATAGAGTAAAAAATATAGGAGAAAAAGAAAAAGTACTCAAAATTAAACAGACATGGGAAAAAAAGGTAAAAAGAAAAGCTGGTATAGAAAACAAAAACACCCAACATTCATAAAATTTGAGTCCCTAAGGATATAAAGTAAAACCACAGAACTAGTGTTTAAAAGCACAGTTCAAGAAAAACTGCTGAAATAAAAGACCTGACTCTGTATATTAAGTAGGGGGAAATTAATGCACCAGGAAAAGTCAACCAAGAGGAGGTAACTGCATGATGCTTATAAAACTATTTGACTTTTAAAAGAAAACACCCACTGTACCTCTAGGGAAAAAACCAAGTCACTTAACAAAAGAAAAAAATCTAATTGGCACCAGTCTTCTCAACAATATACAAATGTAAGGAAACTATGGAACATTATTTCTATAAAAGCCCAGAAAAAGTATGAGTAAAAGATTTTAAAACTAGCCATGCTACCCTTCAAGAGTCAAATCTATGGAAAAAGTTGTAATCATGAAAGAACTAAATGAAGATTTTTTTATACTTGTAAGCCCTTTGAAGGGAATAAACACTGGAGAAATGTTGGCAAAAGGTGTCGAGCACTGAAGATATTCTGTGATAAATTCAAGAGTACAAGAAGATTAGAGGTAAGTGTAGGAGAATAGTTTGGTAATATCACTTATCTCTGAAATAAATAGCTGGAAAAAAGGGAGGAAAAAGGGCAATGTAGAAAAAGCTCACTGATCGACATATAAGTAACAGATGGTAGTCAAACCAAAGTAAATGTAGTTGAAAATGCAAAAGTAAGAATCTAACGAAAGCAACATGAACAAAGTGCTTTATATCAGAAGTCCAAATACATAATTAACAACAACTACAAAAATGTTTCTCTGAAGAAATGGCTCATTCCAATACTGGGCTAGAAAAAAATAACAGGGCCTGCGACATCTATTTGTGCCAAAAACCAAAAATGTGCTCACAACTAGTAAGGAATAACCAAAAATATGATCACAACTTGTAGGGCCTCCCCTATAGATTTAGAAGTGTTTGAGGAAAAAGCATTAGTTGACTATAGACATTCACATTCCTATAGATAGAAAACTCATTTTAGTTAGGTGACTATTACAACTCCTTACTGTGAAAATCAGTAATGAAAGGGGTAGAATTAATCACGTTTTTCCACAAAGAGAATTTTCACAGTTAATAAATGAAAGCATTGCTTTTAAAAATGCTAGCAACTAAATTTTTCTATGGAAGACAAAATTTAGAAAAATCACCATTTAAAAACACCTAGTGAAATGATCCACGGAGGCAAGTATCATCAATGGGTAGGTGTTAGAGAATGAAATAATTCATTTTGTTGCCAAAACATCACCCTATAACCACAGAGCATTTGCTAAGTATGAAAGAGGTGGGTGTTTTAACTTTACCATGGAGTGCTGAATCTGAAATTTTTTATGCTTATTTTATAGGAGGTACAGCAGATAGAAGAGCAAGTTAGATTCATACCATGAGGAAACAAACAACTGTAGAAAGTGAGAGAACACTTTACAAGTCTGGTTCAAAGTCTGTCAGTGCAAAGGCGGAGAAGATGAAGGAACTGTCAAAGACTAAAGAGCTATAACCAAGTTCAGTGCAAGAATCTTAACTGGATATGAGTGAAAAAAATAACAAAAGACCATTTAGGGACACTAAGTGATTAGCCTTTAGATGAAATCAGTGTTAGTGATTTCATCATTAACAATGAACTAGGTTAAGCTATAGAGACAAATAGTCCCAACTGTCAGTGACTTAAAACCAAGGTTTATTCCTCACTCCTACTTATGTAGTAATGTTTCAGAAGTATGACATGCCTCAATCTATTGCTCTTCAGACAAGATAATTACTTTTAAGAACAAAAAGATGGTTGCTGCTCAGGATAAGTGGTTTGGGATAGTTCAATGATTCCCCTATCACTTTGCATCGGAGTCAAAATACTATTAAGTTAAACACTTTGCTATGCAAATTTCAGCTCCAGAATCCCAACTAAAAGTTGTTGAATGAGAAACTCAAACGTTAGAGCCTGAAGTTGCTCTCAGTCATACAGATTTTTATAAGAATTGTCATACAGATACTTCAGTTGCTAGAAATAATAAGTAACAGGTACTTTTGATAATAAATTAGTGTTATCTTCTTATAAATGGCAAGTACAGTACTACTTTCTGAGAGAATCATTACTCTTTTATTTTTATGTAAGTCTTTATAAGTGTAGATTCCTAAAACACAGTTAATATAATTTTGGAAACAAGGTTCTATATTCTACTTCATCAAGGTATGCTAATGCAATTAGATGACCACATGTAAAAGCCAACAAAATAACTAATAAAACGTAACTAATGACTCAATGTCACTAAAAATGTCTAACTATTCTAAATAGCTTCGCCCTTGACTGACATTTCATCAAACTTAATATGTACTAATTACGTATTGTTCAGTATTCTAAAGGGCAAAACCTACCAAAAAAAAGAAAATTCCAAAGGCTAATTACATGCCTGTTAGAGTGATCAAAATCCAGCACACTTACACCACCAGCTAACTGGCAAGATGTGAAGCATCAGAAACCCTCACTCACTGCTGGTGGGCATACAAATGGTACAGCTACTCTGGAAGATAATTTGGCAGTTTCTTACAAAATGAACATACTCTTTAAACATGTAACCCCAGTAATCATGCACCTTTGGGACTTACCCAAAGGAGATGAAAACTGTCCACACAAAACCTGCATGTGGGTTTTTACAGCGGCTTTATTCATTACTGGCATAACTTGGAAGCAACCCAGATGTGCTTTATTAAAAAAGATTTCTTGCTGCATACAATAACTAGGTTGTAGGGCAGAGGTGCAGTGGGTAACAGGATTCAAGAGACAGAATAGGGATCAGAACAGACATCTACTGAAATACACTGCTGAGGGGAGCAGTGGGCAAGACAGGAGAGGTCTGCTATGCCAGGTTCGATGCCCTGGCTAGGGATCGGACTCATGCTGCAGTGGCTAGCCTAGCTTGATAGTGCAGGGACTTTAACCCCTATACCACTAGGAAAGCGCCCCCCCCCCAAGATGTGCTTTAATAGGTGCATTGATAAGCTGGAACATACAGAGATACTAAAATGATATATCAAGGCATGAAGAAATGTGGAGGAATCTTAAATGCCTATCAATAAATGAAAAAAAAGTCAATCTGAAAGGCTATATACTGTGATTCCAACTATACGACATTCTGGAAATGGTAAAACTATGGAGACTGGCCTTCCCTGGTGGCACAGTGGGTTAAAGCACAGCACTGAGAATCTAAAGCCACTTCCGCATGAGTTCGATCCCCGCCTGCCCCAGAGGTGACCACATGGCGTGGCAGACCTCTCCTGACCCGCCCGCTGCTCCCCTCAGCAGTGTACTTCGTCCATCTGCCTGTTCTGCTCCCCACTCTGTCTCTGGTGAAGCCTCTCACCACCCCTGAGCCTCTGACCTGTACACCAGTTCTGTATGCACAAATAAATATTTAAACAAACAAACAAAAAACTATGGAGACAATGAAAGGATCAGTGGTTGTCAGTGATCAGGTAAAGCAAGACAATTTTTAACATAGTGAAAATTTAGAGCATGAGAGTACACTGTATGACACTGTATGATTATACATTTGTTAAAGCACACATAACATCTACCACCACAAGTGAATCCTCGAACAAACTGTGGGTTCTGGGTGAGGGTGAAGTGTCAATATAGCTTCTTCGAATGTAATGTATCCCACTCTGGAGGGAGATGATGATAATGGAGGAGGCTGTGCATGAGTGGTGACCGGGGCTACAGAAAAAAAAAATAATCTCTGAACCTTTCTCTCAATTTTTTGCTGTGACCCTAAAGCCAGTCTAAAATCAATTTTTAAAAAATGTTAACACTAATCCCCAACCAAATAAAGAGAATTTTTAAAGTCTTTTCATATTTTGATTTCCTCAAGATGCCCTAAACTACTTCTAGCCATCTAACCATTCAAACACCTCTGAATAAAGTTATACTTTTCTCTGCCAGTAATTTTCCTCCCTTTACACCCAGAACAGCATTTGGAGAGTCATTTCATCTTGAATGTACATTCTCATCACATACTGCCTTCCATCACCATATTGGTAAGGGTACAGCCGAATAGTGATTATAATGCCAGGAGCAAAAGGAAAATGTATTTTTGCATGTAACAGCTATCATTTTCAATATCCATATTTCGAAAAACAAACGGATCAAACTTTATACTTTTATAGTCTCTATAATGTGCAGGGTCAATTTGTTTTTTAGGTAAGGGAGGGAAAAAAGTACCATCTGATCCTATTTTTTTTTTTTAAAGAAAAACATTCAAAGTAAAACATGAATATTTAATTGCCTTTAAATAACACGTGTAATAATATACATGCTATAGAGTCTCAGACATACTGAATGTTAATCCAATTTTTAAGACATATATACAATCTGCTTCTTGCCAACCTATACCCTATAGCTCATGTTGAATGTTCACTGATTTCTGTCTGTGTGAGCATGTGAGCACATACATTTATGTGTAAAGTTGAAGATTATGATAATAAACCAAAGAGGTGAATGTAAAAGTCTGCCAAGACAGATTCTAAAATCACAATCAGTAACAAGAACCAAGTACCAAGGCACTAAAGTTTCCCTTTGTAATCACAAAGATTAAGTTTCCTATCCCAGAGTTTAGGTATGGAAATAGGCTTTGCTAAATCACAGGCTATATTTTATAGTGTATTTCTGTTACTGTTTAAAAGGAACAATTTTCTCATTATACAACATGTTACAGAAAGGCATGGGAAAAATAAACAGGGTTAGATAAGCTGTCATACAATAAAGTTGTTTTCCACTTGAAAAAAATGTTTGTGTTCAAAACTAATATAACAGACATAGGTATAATAAAGAGCTACTTGATGGATCCTATGCAGAGGTCCTAGTATTCTTAATCATACCTCATGCCACTCAGGTTATTAAACTTGCAATTTGAAAGCCCAAGAGTGATACTGTCAACTGCAAATGACTTAAAGGTTGTATTAGTTCATAGAATAAACAGTTAATATGGTAAAACAAAACTCCCCTAGCATCTAGCTTTTGTCAAACATTTAACTTTGTACTTGGCTGCCCTTAATTTTCCTTTTTTTACTCTTCTCTACTAAAAGAGAAGAAAAAAATGTTCCACAGAATAACTGCTTTAAAACTCATTCAACCAATTCAAATCTAACCATTTGTACTTCCTTTACATCATTTTCAAAATTTTGGGTAAATTTAAGTTAGATATTCTAGGAACAGCAATTCATTGAGAGATAAAGCAGTTTAAAAAATATGTATGTATGTACAATGTTTCTAAAAACAGTTTCAGTTAGAACACTTTAAACTTAGTTGCCACAGGAATAAAGTCAACCACAAAATAAGAATCAATGGAATGCAGTAATTCATACAAAAAAGACAATGTTCTTATATATAATATATATATATAGTTATATATAAGAGCACTGAATATATATATATATATAAATTATCAAATGTAGCACTAAACAAATTGTAATCAGAATAAAACCTTCAGTTTTGTTAATTCTGAATATAGACTTGGGACCTCCTAAACATTACATGAGTAGTGTACTTCTGCAATTGTTTATATAGGCATATTATAGCATGCAATTGCTGTTACAGAGCACAACTGTTTACAAATAAAACAAGTAAAACAAGGTTGGTCAAACAAAAATATCTTATTCTAGGCTTTAAAAAACTTAAGTGTAAAGAATAAACTGAGATTTTTAAGGCTTCCTTATAAATATTTTTCATGGCACGTCAACATTAAATATCACTAGTAGGCAAAATGTAAATATTCAGTTACATAATCAAAATACATGCCATTTCAATTAAGGGGCCACTTTGTTAAGTTTTGCTTACTGCAAATTAAATTATACTTCAGGAAGGCCATTTATGTTTGGCTGTAATTAACATATAAATGATATAGAAATGTCAATTCACTGCTATAGAGTACAAATTGTATTTTGAGTGAATCCACCAAGACCACACATTTCTTACAAAACTGAAAGTCAATTAAACTGACTTATGTCTCTCACAAGAGCAGTTATTATTCTTTCTTCAACTATTAACTGTTAACTCTAAGATCATTATTAGACAAATTACTTTTGCTCAAGCGCACATATCATCCTCACAATAATCCACTTCTTCCATTGTAATAGTCCAGAAAATACTCTGTCTAGCAAGTCATTCTTGCTACACCATACTCTAAGCTGACCACAGCAGGTTCTGATTTGGAAAACTCTTCAGTGTATTCACTGTAACGATTATCTGCTGGGTTGCTGCCCTCTATAGTTCGAAGTGCATCGTTCACCGGTAACAGAGTTTGTTCCTTAAAACACAGTGAAGCTTTGAGTGTAGGTGATTCCGGATGAACTGAATGTAACAATTCCTTGGTTAGAACTTCATCTGCTTGCTTCTTTTTGTATTGCTTCATTTTCTAGAACACATCCAAATTTGAAAAAAATATTACTAATACCAAAGACTACATGATGTTCAACATGTTTTACAAAAGAAGAAAACATGCTTTTGCAATGTTCTTTTTAAATACAATAGTTAAATTGTTTATAATTAAAATTACTCTCGGGCCCTCCCTGGTGGTGCAGCAGATTAAAGCACTGCACTAAGAAGCTAAAGCCACTTCAGCATGAGTTCAATCCCTGCCTGCCCTGCAGGTGATTCCATATGGCTCCACAGACTTCTCCTGACCTCCCGCTGCTCCCCTCAGCATCAGCAGTGTACTTTGATGATCTGCCTGTTCTGCTCCCCACTCTGTCTCTGGTGAAGCCTCTCACTGCCCCTACACATCTGGCCAGTACCCCAGTTCAGTATGCACAAATAAATAAATCTTTAAAAAAAAAAATTACTCTCAAAAATTAATAAGGTTGAATGTAGGTGAATAAGACATGGTTGAAAACCTTAACTGTTTACAAACTGCACAATGAAAATGGTTAGATAAGATTTATTACAAAAGACCACTGACTATATTTTTTATATATATATATAAAATATACACATATATATACTTCCTTAGCTAAGAGATGATGAAAGAATGTTCCCACCCGAGAGACAGATTAAACAGTTTTACTGAATTATAGCAACCTAGGATTTAAAAAATAAATACTTACTATTCCTTTTCAGTTATATATA